CTGAGTGTAGCCGTGCTGTTGCCCACTGAACTGTTTATTGGGCTGGAAGGTATTCTGAAAAGGAGCTTTTTGAGTATAGCTTTGTTGGTGTTGTTGAGCAGGGTACACTTGGTCTTGAGGGTTAGCTACATTCGGGTTTCTGTATGAGAGGTTTGGGTTACTGTTGTAGTTGTTAAACCGCTGATACCTCTGCTGATTCCCTATGTAAATCAGCTCTTCTTGAGTTAGACCATCTTCATTAACATTGTCAAAACTTGGCCCTTGCTCATCAAATTCGCCTACAAAGCGTATTGGCTTTTGAGTCGCCATTAAAACCTTGTCAAGCTTGCTCTGAAGCTCTCTTATATCCTTTTTCATACGCTGTTCATCACTGGATCCCTCTGTACGGTTTGCCCTATCAAAGTCCTCTCCATATGTGTCATTGGACATTGCTAGGTTCTCGACTAGTTCCATTGCTGCATTGATCTCTTTCCCAAGAAAATTTCCATTTGAGGCTGTATCGAGTTGGTTTCTGATCTTGGGGAGTGCACCTCGGTATAAAGTACTCAAGAGGGATGCCTCTGAGAAGCCGTGGTGTGGGCATTGGTTAGTATAGCTCCTAAACCGTTCCCAAGCCTCACTAAAGCTCTCGTTGTTGTGCTGCGTGAAACTTGAGATCTGATTCCTGAGCTTAGCCGTGCGTGATGTCGAAAAGAACTTTGATAAGAACGCCAGTTTACACTGCTCCCAGGTTTGTATAGAACCCCTCGGGAGGTTCTTTTCCCACTGGTGAGCTTTATCACCGAGGCTGAATGGGAACAAGCGTAGCTTGAAGCTGTCTTCCGAAACGCCATTGATTTTGGTTAAGTCGCAAACTCGATCAAACTGATCTAGATGTTCAAGAGGGTCTTCTCCGGCTAGACCGTGAAACTTTGAGTTCTGCACCATATTGAGCAGGGAAGCTTTAACTTCAAAGTTGTTATTCCGAACCGGTGGAGCTTGAATCCTAGCTCGGTATTGGTGCACATTAGCTCGGTCGGTCTCTCCAACAAAGACTGGAGGAGGTTGTCTCTGAGCTTGTGGCGGTGGCGGATGAACATGATGGGCTTGTTGCTCGTTTCTATTAGCTTGTTGTTGGTTTTGCTGAGCAAGCCTCTCGTTCCTTTGAGCCTGTTGTTGGTTTACATAGGCTTGTTGTTCATTTCTTCCTGCCTGCGCCTGATTAGCCTGAGCCTGGTGCTCGGCTTCTTGAGCTTGTTGCTCGATCCTTTGCTGTTCTGCCATTCCAAGTCGTTCAAAGTGCCGTTCTCTCTCGCTAGCTCGCCTCTCAATCCTGTTGATGTTATTGTCGTATGGTAAAGGCGGTTCTGTGCTACGAGACCTGGTTTTCATGCACCTGAAATCAAAACAAGAACTTGCAAAAGAATCAGTAAAACAAAAGAAAGGAAAGTCTTGATCTTAAGAACAAATAAGAGAATAATGCTCCCACAAGTTGGCAACGGCGCCAATTGATAACTAAGAGTTTTCACTCTTTATAGAGGTTATCAATACCCCTGTCCTTGTAGTACAAGGGGTTATCAATCCAAGCTTGTAGTGGAGACACTATCTATGTCATTTGTTGACTTAAGTCAAGACAGATCGATGAAGGTTTTTACTAAGCTAAGTGACAAGCAAATAAGCATAAAATTAAAGCAAATGATAAGATTTAAACAAAGCTAAGATGCAAATGACAAATAAACGATTCAGATGATTATAATGAATGATAAAGGCAGAGACTTTAGACAAGATAATCGACTCGGGTGCTTCCAAGCTAAACTAGTGGGTTAATGAATCATTTTATCAAGCGATTTCATTTAACTTTGAGCTCAAGGCATGTTAATCTTCTCATGAAAGTATTAAGCATCTAAACTGATCCTCTTTCATACCAAAATCCCTTTTGAGAAGCATGAATCAGTCAGCAATAAGATTCAGTTCAAAAATGCCATTTAAGAGAACAAACTATCACTCTCGCGATGAAAGACTCTTAAACCCTTAACCGAGTGGTTCAGACATTTCTACAAACACTTTTGATGCGAGATATGTCTAAGATCTGAACCTCAAGTGATGTGCTTGGATCCAGCCTAGAGATCTTGTCGGTTAAGGAATGAAACATGCAAGACTAGACACCTAAACCCACTAATCTACTTTGAAAGCACCCTAATCTACTTATCTAAAGCCACTTAAACGACTACTCACTGATCATAACGAGCTCACTAAGTCCTTTGCAAGACGTGTAGCTTGTCATGATAAGGAGTTTAATGCTGGATGATAAAAGAAAATAAAGAAAGAACAAGATTCTGATGCAAAAACGAGATATCGGATTAGATTAATCCAGTTTCACAAAAGAGGCAAGTTCTTAAGCTAAAAACAGATAAGAGATAAGATGATTAGGTTTTTTGGTCCTAAAATGTATTTATAGCAAAGGGAAAGTATCGCAGGTCAGCCCGGAACAAACCGGGTACTGAACCGCTTTCTTGGGTTGATGGGTGAGTGCCATGGTGTGTCGGAGAGTGAAGCCGAGGTCTTCATGTCGAGGAGTGCACGTGAGTCTGGATCCAAATGAAGATCTCGTGAAGAACACGCCAAGAACATGCATGAACCCTAGTCTTTGATCCATCTTCTCGTGTGTGTTCTTGAGCCATCTCGTTCTTGATTCTGGGTTTGTGACAAGGGACCTCGGCATTCTATGCTGAGGTGCTTGGTGGTCGAGGGGTTCGGGAGAACAGAGTCCGGCATGCACGCCGAGGTCATTGCACCGAGGTGCACGTCCAATACTTAGTCGTTTCCAGCTTTATTTCTTACGTGTGCATGCCTTGATTCCATCGTGCTGAGGTGTCAACCCGAGATCTAGTTCAAAATACTCCCAAGATATGAGCCTTGGCTTGAGCAATGTCGAGGCTTGAGAAAATACTTAGCGTGTATCACGACTCTTTTGGGCTCGTTTCGACCATATTGCCTTCCGGAAACAGTAGCTTTAAACACACGACTCCAAATGCTCTGAGACCAGTTCCATATTCAAGATGACTTAATAAGCTCAAACTTTGGTGAAGAAACCGTCGGAGCTTGGGAAGTGGAAGGCTTCCTAGATTTCACATCTTTGCACCGTATTGAAATCACCGGAAAACAGGCTTTTTGGACCGATGTGAACTCCGGAGACTTTATCTTTCAAACCACTGCTCCGAACTAAGCGATTCCAACTGTCCTGAGAAGTTCTTCCACAGATCTCAAACTTTGATGAAGACCGGGCAAGCTAATTCGGTTCGGAAAGGCTCCGTCCGCCGTGATCTTTGGGCTCCGCCTTTCGGTTCTCGGATGCGCGTAATGCTGGTGCATCTTCCGGAAGCTGTATCTTTCTCTCCACTGGTCCGAATTGGATGATTCCGATCTTCTGGGATCTTTGCTTGATTGCCTCCAACTTTGATTCCGATCTTCCCGCCAACTGATTCGGACCGGAAGGTTCCCCGGATTGTTGATCTTTGAAATGTGCGAACAAGGATAGATTTTGGTCGAGAAAAGCTTCCCGCGGTAAGGAAAATGACCGAGGGCTGTGTACCGCGGTAAGCTTTTTGGTCGTAAATTTCTCTCGCCTCGGCCAAAAACTCAACCCGTGGTATTTTGCACCCGATACTCGACCCAGGCTGATTTTGGTCGATCGGTAAGGATTTTGGCCGGTAATGAGCAATCGGTAAACTTTTTGACCGAGGTTTCTGTCTGGCCAGTACGCGATTTGGCCGAGAAATTCCTCCAAGCGGTTTTCACCATTTTTGACCCTTTTCTTCATCGTTTTCTTCTCTGCTCCTCTTCTTAAGCTCCAAATGACTTCCAAAGTATCTGATAAAGACTTCAAAACATGCAAAACTCTTTGGGACCTAATGCAAGTCCTAAATCCTATTTTCATGTCTAAAGACTCAATTTACATGGGAAAACATATGATGAGAACTCTAAAATGCACTCTAAATGATGTAAAATATAGACATATCAACTTCGTGTATTTTTAAGGAATTTTCCCGATATTAAACTGATAAGAACAGATACTACACTTGATCTTAGCCAAAAGGCCGAGAAAGGTATGAGTTATATGCAGTGTCAAGGATAGTTTTTATATGTCTCGTGGAACAACAAGCAAATCCTGAATTATCGATGTGGGTTTTTTACAACTAAGTCAGATGAGGTAAATCTGAGAATTTAGAATTGGGTATTTAAGCCCAATTACTATATTGAGATTTAGCCCAAATGTACTATTTTAACAAATGTCCCTATATTCAATACTATAATTGTTTTTTTTTTCAAATGTAGTTTAACTTTATAAGACATTTTCCAGACTTTTGACCAATGGATTTGGACCAATCCTTTGAAGATGCTGCTGTACATTTGTGGTAGTAGAAACAAATCAAAGTTGCTTAATGTTCAGAAGTTCTTTTTGTGTTTATATCTTGGTCTGGAAGATACAGTGCCGTCTGGATGAATGGCCAAATTAATAGGCCTGATTTGCATATGTATGTATAAAAATAAGAACTAGGCTTTTCATTATTCAAGTAGATTATATTGGGGAAGGTTTTAAGTTGACTTTGTATTACCAATCACACCCTAAAGTCGCAGATCTTGCATTAATCGAGGTTTTAGGTTTATTTGGCATTAAAGAAAGACCTTGACTCTGTTTCTGTATTCACTTTCACTATCTCTTCGTGAGCTACACCCTAATCGAGGTTTTAAGTTTGATTTGGCATTATAAAAAAGACTTCTACTCTGTTTCTGCAATTTACTTTCATTATCTTGGCTACTACTCTTGCATTCCTGATCTCCTTCTTCCTCCACTTTGGTAAGTACGTCATAGAGTCTCTCTCTCGTCAAGCTTTTAGCTGCTACTCTTGTCTCCTTCTTCCTCCATTTGGTAAGTCATTTAGTCTCTCTTTTACTATTCTTGGTATGGCTGACTTTTTTCTTTTTTTTCTTTGTTTTGAATGGGATGATTTAGGCTTGAAATGGATTTTTTTGAAGCACGTCTAGATAGAATTGAGGCACAGAGGTCAATGGATGTGTCTCAGGAACAATGGAGACAAAGATACACACCTTTGAATCTGATAAAGAGCAGCTTACGTACACTCAGATCACGAGGTTTAATTCAAACCGGTGGAGAAGACACGACACCACCTACAGAAGATTCCGAATCCTTGCCCGACTTCTTTATCAATGTTAGATTGTCGGATGTTTTCGACATCCCTGGTGAATATGTGCAGATGGATGCAGAGATGTTTAGTGCACTGAGTGATGGGAACAAAGAGTGGCTGGAGAAATTGAGAAACCATGAAACGCCAATGGCATGTCTCAAAAGCCATCGAGGAGATTCTGTTCTCCACCTTGTTGCTGCTTGGGGTCATGTTGAAGCAGTGAAGATCATTGTCTCTGAATGTCCGTGTCTTCTATTGGAACCAAACTCAAAGGACCAGCTTCCACTTCACGTAGCCGCTCATGGTGGACACTTAGCAGTTGTTGAGGCTCTTATTGCGACAGTGACATTTGTTTCAGGTACACTGTCCGAAGAAAAGAGAGAGATTCTGAATCCATATGTTGTGAAGGATATAAATGGAGATACTGCTCTGCACTTAGCCTTGGAAAGACGCTATATGAAGACAGCTTCCTCTCTAGTGAATGCCAACCAACAAGCTTCGTTTCTTGCGAATAAAAACGGAATATCTCCCTTGTATTTAGCAGTTGAAGTCGGAGATGTGTCACTTGTAAAAGCAATGTTGAAAATTACAGAAGAAGATGGCCCTGAATGGAGAAACACAAATCTTGCTTCACAGTTGGAAGGGAAAAAATGTCTTGCCCACGCTGCTTTGAAGTCCAGGAGTAGAGGTTTGTTTTGCTTTTTAACCATTTGCAAGATCACAAGAACAAACCCATATGACTGATTGAAACTTTTTTTTTATATATGTACTACTTGTTTGGCCAGAAACCCTTAATGTTATTCTTGATGAATTCCCAAGCCTTGTGGATGAGCTAGATGAAGAAGGAAGGAATTGTCTTTTCATTGGAGCATCCATTGGGTATTATGGAGGAGTATGCAACCTCTTAGATCGATCCACGAAATGTGTTTTTGTTTGTGACTATGATGGATCTTTTCCAATTCATAAGGCTGTAGAGAATGGTCATATGAGAGTCGTCATAAAGATTCTAGATTGTTGTCCACATTCAAAGCACCTGCTCAACAAAAAAGGTCAGAACATTCTTCACATTGCATCTTATACTGGGATGATTCATATTGTAAGACATTTGATGAAAAGTGGAGAAACTAACCATCTGGCTAATGAGCAAGATGAGGATGGGAATACACCTCTGCATCTAGCCACCATAAAGTGGCGGCCTCGAGCTATTTATAGCCTTGCAGGGCCAAAAAACCTGTTGAGACAGAATAATGAGGGCTTAACAGCTCTGGAAATTGCCGAGTTAAATCTGCAGTCCTGTTACATATATCGAGAGGTATGTCTAATTTCTCACTTGAGCAACATTTCCTAGTCCCACATCCATTATTTTACAGCTTATGACCCTATGAACTTTGGATTACAGAGGTTGACACTGGCAGCCTTAGCACACAGTCACGCCGGAAGCGATCCTGGATTCATGCAAACTCTAACAACACGATCAGTTCCTTTGGACCGTAAGGGGAACAAAGAGTACATCAACGCTCTTTCAATGGTTGCAGCTCTTGTGGCAACTGTGACGTTTGCAGCTGGTTTTACAATACCAGGCGGCTTTAAAAGCTCTGCTCCGCACTTGGGCATGGCGGCTCTAGCAAGCAATCCTCGTTTCATAATTTTTCTGATATTTGACATCTTGGCGATGCAATTCTCACTTCTTGCATTGGTTGCTCTAATCTTGGCGCAGTCGGAGGATCCTGCACTATATCACAAGTCCCTAAGAATAGCTTTGCCATCACTGTATTACGCTCTATATTTCATGGCGTTTGCATTCTTTTTCGGCATGGTTATTGCAGCTGGGAATCTTATTGTGCTTATCGTCGTTGATTTTTATATATGTTTCACCATCTTTGCTGTGACGTTGTTTATCTTTATACCTCACGTGCTCCTTCAGGCACTTGGCATTCGTGCTGTATGTGGTCGCTTCTTTTTCTATTTCGTGAGGTATGCTGATGACTATGGAGATGAAAGTTACCAGAGCTCTACTCAGAGGTCTGTGAAGATCCCAAGAAATGATCAGGTCGACATGCCAGACACTAGTTAAAAAAGAGAATGATTTCCAATGATATTATGTACTCATCATGTATTTCTTTTAACGTTCAGACTAATTATCAAATGTTTACAGGAAATTTAATAGAGTAGAAACCGTATTTTAGTTTATGGAGCAGTGGTTATAAAAGTGTTAAGCAGGAAAAATGAATCTCATGTGTTCTCGATCAGGTCACTTGTCAAGGAAACCAGATCCTACATGGCCTCGGTGCCGTTTATGGTCATTACCACCATAGTGAGACGTATCCCTTGACCGTGAAGAAAATGTTCTTCCAAGTTGGAACCCTAACGTAAATGACTATCACAACCGGTTCATTTCAATAACCCACAGGAAATTTACTATCCTGTCTTAGGGGTGTTGAGTCCAAACACTTTGTCTAACTCTACGTAACAACAGTAACATTTGCTGCAGGTTTTACAATACCAGGTGGCTATAAAAGCTCTGCTCCCAGCTTCTGCAGCGCAGGTCTCAGCATTTTCTTGATACTTGATACTTTGGCAATGCAAAGCTCAGTGGTAACAGTAGTTTCTCTTATTTGGGAGAATCCTGCATTATTCCGCACTTCCTTAACCGTGGCCTTGCCACACTCTGTATCGCTCTAATGTCCATGGCGTGTGCATTAATTCTTTTCCGACATGGCTATTATTGTTGGGCCTATTCTAGGGCTTCTTATCGTCATTTACCTTATATCTGTGATCTTCTTTCACATGATGCTCTTAATTCTTGCCCCTCACGTTTTCCTTGAGCGACCTAGCTAGCGTTCATGCTATATGAATTGGTTTTTGTTATGAGTATAGTAGCAAATGATATTTACTTTTAACGTTCAGATTAAAAAATTAACATCGCAGATTGAATGATAAAATTTAAAACAGATGGTTATTGTGTTGAAACCATATTGACTTATACAGAGTAGTGCTTATGGGAAATCTCTAAGATCTTGAGAGGGTTTATGCAGGAAAATGAAGTTCATGTTTGTCGATCACGTTACTTATCAGGGATACACGATACTGCATCTTGCTGCCATTTATTGTCATGACCACCTAGTAGGACATATTCTTGACCATCAAGTAAATGTTCTTAGAAGTTGGAGCCCCTTCTTAAGCGGGCTAGATAAAGGGATATGGGCCCAATCGTTAGAGAATTGGCGATTATAAGCTAAGAAGAAGATTGCGACACTCCTGATTGTTAGATTTTGGCTTTGGTTAAAAATGAACTTAAAAGGGTTAGTTAGGCTTTTGCTCTCTCAACGTGGACGACACGTAAAAGCCAAACCCTATAGTGTAATTTGCAATTCGTAAAAGAACAAAATTCAACTGGAATTGGTGAGGTGTGCCAGACCCTCGCAGCAGTGCAAGACGTGGGCGACACGTGGGAGTCCAATCAGCAAGCTGATGCAACGGACTCTCCCCCATTAAAAATAAAGTTAATATCGTCAAACCCACATTGGACCGAATATCAGATATTAAATTGATAAGAACAGATACTACACTTGATCTTAGCCAAAAGGCCAAGAAAGGTATGATTTGTGGCTGATGTCAAGGATTGTTTTTATATGTCTCGTGGAAGAGCGCGCAAATCCTGAATTATCAATGTGAGATTTACAACTAACTCAGATGAGGTAAATCGAGAATTTAGAATTGGGTACATATTAGGTCTAATTACTATGAGAGTTAGCCCAAATGTATTATTTTAACAAATGTCTCGATATTCAATACTGTAATTGTTTTTTTATTTATTTTAAAAATGTAAAGTATAGTTACTCTATAATTATTAACAAGAGAGATACTCCTTCGAATATGGAATTGTCGCAAATTATTAGGATGAGTTTTGTTGATATTTTACAAAAAAAATATGGCAGAAGTCACAGGTCTAAAAGAAAATGGATGAAAACGAAGATTAATGTAAACCACAAGAAAGATGAGAAGTTTGAAAAAAAAAGAACATTAAAAATCATGAAGTACGGGAAATTCCAGCGAGTGAAGCAAAGTGTTCATGAGAGCATGATGTTCATCTCTGTTCTCGAAGAGAATACCCTATCAATGGATGTTAGCCCTAGCGAAACCATTTGTTTCAGCTTTTTGCAATCCGTGTATCCAGACGACAAACTCATCTAGAGCTGCCTCCACTTTTCTTTTCTTTTTTTTTCCCCTACATGTGTCGACTATGATTTGTCTTGTCTCCTTCTGGTTTTACATCTCATTTGTCGCTTCCTTCCTTGCATGATCATCATGTCAAACTCAAAAACCAACTCCCTTATTCCTACTGCATCTGAAATTGTCTTGATTTTCTTCATTAATCAGTATAGGATCTTGTACAACTTGTTAATATGTCTATCTAAATATTCTATCTTATTTTGACTAACAAGATTAATTTGTCAAATTATATTTATATTGGAGAAATTCTCAACTTGGTTGACGAAGATGTTCGATTGGTAGTGGTCGATTTACTGCATTGACTCTCTAGTGATTTTCTACAACTCATGATAGAACTAAAACTGATATAGTCAAAGACTCCTCTGTCACAGGCTTGGACAGGGGTGGGTAGATTGCAACGACCAAAGAATACTTGTTCATTTCTTAAAAAATCATTCTGAATATGGTCCAATTTGTTTGTTTTTTTTATTAGAGAGCGCTCGATTTTTTGAAAAAAAAAAAAATTGTCTAATATTTTAAAAATTAATTTGGAATTTGTCAGTAAAGTAAGCCTATAGTAAAAATCCAAATATAAACTGCTAAATGTATTTATAAACAAAAAGATATTTTGAGGATCTAAAACTTTTTTTCACCCAAAGGACTTGATATATATTGAGTCAGGTTTACTCTGTCAAAAAGAGTGACAAGTTCAAACAAACAGTGTATGCATCATGTATACATCTATATACTGAACTGGCAAGATATATACCATGGATTTATCCTAAATAATTATGATTATTTTAGTTTTCATGAAGTCTATCATGAGTGAAGACGTGAATGGATATTTGTTGTTCAAAATTTTGGTTTATTATTATCAATATTTAAGTTAAGTTTTTAAAATTTTTTTAAAAAAAAATGTAAATTCATCTAATTTCTTTATCTTTTCATTTTCTGAACGAATTTTGTGCAATTAAAAATAGATATTTTAATTGTTTTTCATGAAATGTTAATCGTTTAAGTTGAAATTTCAAACTTGACAGCATCCAAAAATAGTATTGTATATGAAGAAATTTGTGTTATATTGTATCTTTTAAAATTTTAAGGAGAAAGATAGGGGGGGGCAAATGAGTAATGAATGTATAGTTGATAAAGAATGTACTTAGAGCATCTCCAACGCAGTATTATCACAGGTTTATCGGTGGGATTTACCTGCATTTTTGAATTTTTTTTAAATAAAAAAGCCTATATATCCAATGATATTATCTCTTTGGGATGAGTCCAATGAACTCGTCTCTTAGGAGTTCTTTGGCCCGCTGTCACAATGTCATTGGCTATCTGTATTTTTTTTTTAACTTTTGACTATCTGTATTTTGTATATTTTTTATCCAAATTTTTATGTTTTGTATTTTTAAAAATCATGTAATGCTATAGAAATTTGATTTTATGTAATATAGTTTGTTTAAAATAACTTCTCAAATAATCTAAAATTACAAATAATATTTTACAAAATATTATATTTTATTTCAAAGAACTCAATGAAAGGTTCATGATTGGAGGTGCAAAAAATCATGGGGTTTATCACTGTTAAAAAACAAAAAATTAAAAAAAAAAACTCAATGAACCCCAAAAGAGAGGTTAAGGGTTGGAGATGCTCTTAATCCTCTATGTTTTTCTGTAGTGAGCCTATTTTTGAACTCAAATAATTTTTAGTTATGCCTTTTAATACCATAGTATATGTCTATTCTAAATTTGGTTGGTTTTTGAAGTCACAAACTATCGAAAAGTGCAAACATATATATAAAAATATGTAAAGATCAAACAAATCCAAAAATATTTTATTAAAATATTTTGGTTCCGAGCTGCGAGTATTCAGATTTGAATTAGAAATATCCAAATTAATATCTATGGTTCTTCAGATATGCACTTCTAGATGTCCACTCAAATATCTATTTAGATTTGAATCTATAAAAAAATATAAATTAAGTTATCACTTTGACTACATTTTTATCGAAAGTCTTAACATATTTCAATTAATTTTGATATTTCGGTAAGCTTAGCAGCCCACATTTGTCTTCTCCATCTCATGCACCCGTCTATATAAATACAATGCAGTAACATATGAGAAAGGTATACCATAACTAGTTAGCTAGTAAGCAATCATGAGAGGAACAAGGCCATGCATGGTTAGTGATCTTGGTGATCATCAGCGCTGTGTTGATTTGCGAAAGTGCAGCACTCTCTAGTGCCATGGAGGTGGAGCAGTACTGTGAGAACCAATGCGAGCAGCAGCAAAGTTTCCGTCTCCGACAAGTAACATTGACCAAAAACAAAGAGAAAGAAGAGTGCAAGGCAAATGCTACTCTTACTATAACATAGCAAAGATGATGAGTGCTATACAAGGAAGAGAAGATCAAGTCAATAGGGAAATGTCAGAAAATATATGTAATAAGTGCAAATTTATTTTCCCTTTTGGTGGTGACTGAATGAAGCAATGTATAGCTGGATCGTAAAGATTTGTGGAAATCTGCCTCTTGAGAGGGTAAAAGAGCTGCATGCCATGCTACGTGCATGGCACTCGGTTACGGCAAAGACAAATGTGCTCTATGTCAACAACCAATTACTCCTTTCTCTAAATCTAGATAACCGTACTGCGTGCATATCACTCTATCCTCAGTATAAAGAGAAATGTACTGTTGCATGTGAAGAACAAAATCCTTGAGATAGTTTTTTGTTTTAATAACTCTTGTCTTTGTCAATTGTGTGGATTTTTTTTTTTTTTGGTTTAAGCCATTTGGTTTGAATTGTTTGATTATTTCAAACTGAACTGGTTATTCACAGGTTCCAAAAAATCCTTTATACAGTTGTTTATGCCTTATTTTATCAAGAATATGCAAAAAGCCTATATCTTTGAAGGGCCGGTCCAACATAATTTGTTGCCTAAAGCAAAAAAAAAAAAAAATCTGAGCCCATTTAAAAAAAGAGGAGACAAATCGTGTGCTGTTGTGAAAACTTAGAAACTTTATTAATCACTGGAATGTATATATAGAGTACATAGGGAATCTAGGTTAAGTACAATGCCCTGATGGGCCTAATGGGCCGGTATAAGAGTCCATATATGATATGTGTTATAACACTCCCCCTTGGACGAGTGAACCGGGCCAGCTGCTCAATCGGGATCTCGATAATGCGCTGGGAAATGTTGCCTCATTAAAACCTTACCAGGAAAAACCCAGTGGGACAAAACCATGGTGAAGGAAAAAGAGTACAACACGCATTACTCCCCCTGATTGTAGCATCACTGCAGATCTCTAAGTCTATACATTCCTATCTGTTTGACGAGCTTCCGGTGTGTTGAAGTAGGCAATGATTTGGTGAAGAGGTCAGCTGAATTCTCACTGGATCGGACCTGCTGAACGCTGAGAATGCCGTCCTTCTGCCAGTCTGAGGTTGAGAAGAACTTCGGTAGAATGTGCTTCGTCCGATCTCCTTTGATATATCCTTCCTTGAGCTGAGCTATGCATGCCGCGTTGTCTTCATACATCACCGTGGGCTGTGTGTCTTCGTCCATACCACAATCTCTGCGGATGTGCTGAGTCATGGAGCACAGCCAGACGCATTCCCTACTAGCCTCATGAATGGCTAGGATTTCAGCATGGTTTGATGAAGTGGTAGTGAGTGTCTGCTTCATTGATCTCCAAGAGATGGCTGTTCCTCCATGCGTAAAAACGTAGCCAGTTTGAGACTAGGCAGTGTGCGGATCTGATAGATATCCTGCATCGGCGAAGCCGACTAACCCATCTTTATTTTTGTTAGTATAGAAGAGTCCTAAGTCTTGAGTACCTCGAAGGTATCTTAGGAGATGTTTTATACCGTTCCAGTGCCTCTGAGTTGGGGATGAACTATATCGAGCGAGGAGGTTCACGGCGAAACATATGTCTGGTCTAGTGTGACTAGCCAGGTACATTAACGCTCCTACAGCACTGAGGTATGGCTTTTCAGGACCAAGGATTTCTTCATCATCCTTTTTGGGACCAAGAGGGTCATCACTTAAGCTTCTAACTACCATTGGGCTGGTCAATGGGTGAGCTTGGTCCATATTAAATCGCTTGAGTACCTTTTCGATATAAGCCGATTGATGCACAAGGATTCCTCCTTTGATGTACTCAAGTTGTAATCCCAAACAGTACTTTGTTTTGCCTAGGTCTTTCATTTCGAATTCTGCTTTTAAGCAGTCGACTGTTTGGGAGATCTCACCAGATGTTCCGAGGATGTTTAGATCATCCACGTATACTGCTATGATTACAAACCTTTGTTTGAGTACTTCTTGATGAAGATGCATGGACTGATGGGGTCATTTTTGTAGCCTTCTTTGATGAGGTAATCGCTGA